AAATATTATAAAATAAAAATATTTCGAATGATCGACACATCAAATAAAATAAATAATTATTAAACAAATAGTTAATGAATGTACCTACCTAATCACTAATCTTTTAAAAGAACTATTAACATATTATGTTGTTTCACATCATGATATGAAACAAAACAATATTATTGTTAATTGTTGAATATTATTTATTATATATTATTTTTTTAATGAAAAGCATACCTATATTATATTAGTATAATAATATATTTGTAATTAAATATTAATAATGTTCATATAAAAATGTATTAGTATTCTTTTTTTTTAAATTTTTTTGTTTATCAGTATAAACTTTACTTTGTAACTATTATTATTATGATGTACCTATAAGCTCTATGTCGTACATAAAATTGATATAATATTGTGTTGGCTATTATTTAAATAAACGCATTATATTATATTGTGTAATACTGTGCTGGCTATAAATATTATTCTTATTATTATTATAGTAGAAAGCTGGTGAATATATTGTTTATTTTTTGATGACGATCAACACTTTGTAAATGTTTAATCGAATAAAATTAGTTTATTTATATTGTAATTTATTTCAACAGTGTTTTTTTTTTAAATAATTGTATCGAATGAGTTTTTGACTTTTTTAAATTTGGTTTTTGTATTATAGTGTTACTTAATTAAAGTAAAGTAAAGTACTTAATATTTTCAATTTGAATTTTGGCCACGACTTAAAATAGCTGCCGACACAGAAACTAGCACTCTATTCACGCTTGAAGTCAATCAATATTATTAAGATGTGGCTGCAGCTGTTCGAAGTTATGCTAAAGGTATGGTTGTAGTTAAATTCTATTTTACTTGAGTATTAATAATACTTAACGTAGTTAAAATTAGTTATAGAACGATAAGTGCACTTAGGATTAATTCGATAATCCAGATTTATTAAAAACCGGATTTTAGTGAAATAATTTACAGGCGGAAGGCCCACGGACTCGTTATAATATTTTTAAAATTTGTAAGAGATTAAATTTCTTTCAAAATTAAAATCCTAAGACCACCTATGGTTATCGTATTAAATATTTGAACTCATAGGCGTTACTTATATTCGAGAAACAGTGCATTTTGCTATTTTTTTTTCTTGTGGAATTCGGTTTTTAAATTCCAATAATAATTTCTAGTGCTAATACGTAATATCATATAAAAACACAAATATAATAAAAACAAAGGGGAAAAAAATATACATAATATATATAATAAACACAACGAAATAATGTACAAATATAAATGAATAATTAGGTAGCGAATTCAGTAAATCTAATAAAAATTACATAGATAGGTACTTAATTATATTAAAATAACGTCCCAGGTTTATATTTTATTTTTATTGTTGTGATTTTGCTATTATCACCGTATCATTTAGTAGATATCGATAGTTATTAGGTACTTACCTATGTTCTACTCTAAATAATATATTTACAGTCAAAATTTATGTCATACAAATTCATCAGTCAGACAAATTATTTTTAAATGTTTTTAATCTTTTAATTGTAATTCATATACAATAATTTTAGCAGGTGTTACATTTAACTTTTTTACTTTCTATCTATTTCACTATAATTGATTACCTATATATTAAATGATTAAGCACATTTTTGCTAAAAAAAAGTATTTTTAACCCATTGAAAATGAATAAAAATAGACGAAAAATAGTTTGTTCGTATAACAATAGTTTTTAAAAATATTACTATTAAGTACTTTTTTTATTAGTTTACTAGCTGATCCCGTGTACATCGTTACCCGTTAAATGTACCAAATCTATATGACTCAAACTTTGTTCAATTCGTTATTTAATATTCAGTGTACGGTGTTCAAAATTTATCTTAACTTTTCCGTTGCCCGGAATAATAATAATATTTCTGATTCGCATCAGTATTATGCGGTAGATCGCGGACACCTTGGTGTTTGTACGTAAGTGTATGATTTATCTCTAAAGTATGAAAGTCATACCAAGTGTATTGTATAATCAGTTAATACAAGATCCTAACAATAGTAATATCAGATGAATAAAAATAACTTTAAAACATTTTTTAAATTAGCCTGTCTTCTTCCCAGAGATCTAATGTACACATTAGATTCATTTACTTTATATTTATTGACAAAAAACAAAATACCCATCAAGAAACATGCCCGATTAACCAATAGCGACTAATATAAATTATAATACACTGTTGCGCCAGTGTTGTATTTTTTTCATCCAGATTTCCTACTTTTCCGGTGGATTTTCCTAAAATTTTCTTTCGTTCCAATCATCTCCAGACAATTACGAACATCTTAAAAAAATTTGAGCCAAATCGGTAAGGCCGTTCTTCAGTTTTAGCGAGACAAACAAACAGCAATTAATTTTTATATATTTGGAAGATTATGTGTATCAATAATTTAATGATTTTAAAAGGATATGATATTCTATGTACCTATATATTAAATATTTTATTATATCATGTTAAGCATTAAAATTTTAATTTTTAAATATTGAATAATTAAATAATAATAATAATTATTATTATTATTACATTTTTTTCACGGTGAATTTGACAGCTCATTTCGGCAAACCGTATAATTTTGGTGAACCGTAGGCAGCATTTAAAATCTCCGGCGCAACTCGTTTAGTAACGCCTATAAAGATTTAAGCTCAAAATAAAGTGTCAATATTTAATTAGTTATAGTTTGTCGTTAGGGTTACCTATTAAATCGGTTTCTAAATATATTGAAGTTATGCTATTGTCGGGTCCTTTTATCGGTTTTTAACTGTTAAACTATGTTAGTATTAAGAATCACGTATTTCTATATGGAAAATTTTAAATAACTGAAGTTGCTAAAGATGAACACAAATTGTACCTTTATTTAAATAAACAAAGACATGTAAATTTACAAAAACTATTCATGTACCTATACTGTAAATATTAATGCGATTCACGCAAGCTATTTACTAATATTCGAGTTTATAAGCAGGGCTTGAAACTGAAAAAAATTTTTCCGGTTTCGGTTTCGGTTTCGGATACCGGTTTTGATTTTTTCCGATTTCGGTTTCGGTTTCGGATACCGGTATTGACTTTTTTCGATTTCGGTTTCGGTTTCGGATACCGGTATCGATTTTTTCCGATTTCGGTTTCGGTTTCAGATACCGGTATTAATTTTTTCCGATTTCGGTTTCGGTTTCGGATACCGGTATTCATTTTTTCCGTTTCGATTTCGGTTTATAACGGTTTTAACCGGTATTCAAAATCAGTATCGAATATCGGTTTTAATCCCTGTAATTATAATAATTTATAATGACATAAAATACTGGCGTAGGAACCTACTCGCCAAACATTGAGTGGCGTACGATTTAGCGTCTGGTTGCCTGACAAGTACTATAGTATTTGCAATCAATGATAATATTTACACTGGAATGAATAGGTACGTAATAATGACGTATTTAGTTATAGCCTCTCCACTTCATAACACATTTTCCAAATGATTTGCGACCTAATTTTTTAAGAGTTTGTGTAACTTCATCGTTTATAAGTTGAAACTATTTTCTCAAAGAGGGGTTAACTTCATGCGTGTCCCACCCACCACATTAATCAAATTGATTGAAATTTGTTGTTTTACTTTTGATTTGTAACTATTTGTAATTATTTGAAAACATATATTCAACAGTATTTTACATTTAATTAAAAATTGTTTGAATTTTGTTTATTAAGTATATTATTAATACTATTATCATATGTGAAACAAGTAAAACTAAAAACGGTTCAGGTCAGTCAAGCCATGGCCTGATCTAATACTGTGTGGATAACATACTTACTGACTATACATACCCTAAAATATCCAAATTACTAAAAGTACTAAAAAATCTCTTAAATCGGTCAAATCTAAATAAAAAATCAATGCTCTAAAAACTATCACCAATTTTGCTTCTTCAACCGATAACACATAATATAAATTAAATAACAATATAATATATAAATTATAAATATATTATTTCATTCCTGTGAACAAAATTAAATTGATAGGTAAATTTTCAGCAATATTTTTACTATAATTAGTTACTAAAAAAGTTAGAAGAAAAAGCATATTATCAATTAATAATATAAATTTACAACCAATTACTTAATATTAATTACTTTATCAATAATTATTTTTAGATTGAATCAAACTTGCATTTTTTTATTTAGATAAAGTGGAACCTCTATTTAACATACTTCAAGGTTCTTTAAAAAAAATTGTGGATTAAAATTTTTTTTTAAAAGAAATGATATTTTTTTCATTTCTAAAACTTATTTTTAGTGTACAAAATATTAGTATATAAATAAAAATTAAAAAATTAATTTTAATTATTTTAAGTATGTAAATTATAGTTTATCTTATAATTTGTTGTCAAAGAACTTTTTGATTTCCTGTTGTTGAACAACTTTTGTACCATTCAGACTATAAAAATGCTCACATTTATTAAATAAGTCTGATTGACAAGTGTGTACTTTATAAATAAATAACAAACGTTTTTACATTTATTGTACAAAATAAGTTCATTAAATAGAATTTTTTTTTTAATAGAAACATTCTGTATGAAAAATGTATAGTTCCATAAAACATTTTATTATAATATAGAGTTCAGTCAAATAGAAATTTATTAAAGATAGTTACCACTATATTTGAGCCGACAATAAGCCATAAGGTAGTACTTAGTACTTACCATTTACTTTTATCAAATATTTATTCATTGACAAGTCCGTGATATAAAACGTAGAAATTAACTAAACTATAAGGAAATACTTAGGTACCTAATACACAGTGACAGAGTGACTATATAGACTTACAAAAACTTAGTAACTAAAATATGTGCAAAAGTGTCATGTGTGGCTAATGGTTGGTAATCTATGAATATAGGAACCCTAATACCATGAAAACTGCAGTTATTATAAATTAATGAATGATATCATAGTTTATTGATGCATAGTAATAATTAAAAGTTATTTGTTAAATTTAGTATTGCTTCGAACTATCATGATGGCATTTAACTGTTCTGAAGACAATGATGTTCTTAAATCAGATAGTATAAATTTCAACCCCGAAAAACTTCTCTCGACACTGACCTGTAAAATAATCAAGCATAAGCAACAAGACAAATTTAAAATTTAATTAATTTATAATGTTTACAAAACATTACGAACTTGAGTGGCAGGGACAGCATGCACAATACAAACTAGCTTGTAAAGTTCTGGTCTAATTAGCTGTTCTGTTTCCCAATAGTTCATAACTTTTGAAATGTATGGTTCAAGTTTAATATTTTTAAAATCATTTAAAAGTATTTTTATATTAATCGTATTATCATTATCACCACTATTTACAGTTGATATAGATGATCGTGAAGACAAGAACAACTCAAATTCATCTTCATTATTAACAACTTCAGTCTCAGCATTATCTACCACTAAACAAAATAATATTACATTAAATTTCAGTCATTAGGTATCAAGAATATTATATTTTATACAATTAACAATAAATGATTTTACCCAGATCTGAGTTATTGAGATTAATATCATTATCTAAATCTTCATCCGATTTATTTAGCTGGAGCAAAGCATTCCAAGTCAATACTAAATGGTCTATTCCATCTTTTATTTGGTATTCATTCAATAAACATTGATACCTTGGATCAAGGAATATTGCTAAAATAAAAAAATAAATGTAAGTCATTCAGTAGGTAATTAATAATTATAATTAATAATAATTCAGTAAAATGTATACAAATAGAAACTAGTAGTAACAATCAACTACTTATTTAATAATACATAATCATAAAAACAATCATAATGTGTTTTAAATTAGAGAATGATGTTTCACTACTGCTGTTTGTAATCATAAGAATAAGATTAATGTGAAGAACTATTTCAACATTAGGAAAACAATCTTTTATTTTCTTATTAATTAATATTTTATACATTAAATGTTCTAGACTAATATTGTGAAATTCACTGATTTCATTTTAAAATGTTTATAAAATTCTTTAAAAAAAAATAAAAATTGAAAAAGGTATTGTGAAGATTATAGTATTATACATAACGCTGTTGTTAGATAGTAATCTTTAGATCATATCCTACTAGTATATGATCGAAGCTGTAATCTATATTTTATGATATTATCTAAAGCTAATATCATAATTCTGATGATGAATTGTCGTTGACCATCGTTATTACTACAACATTTTGACGTATAATTGCAGACCCACATGCATATATTAATTAGAAATACAATTATGAATATTATTACAATTGATAGTGCACACCAATTACAGACATTGCAAAAACCTATCTTATCTAGATTCTTAGACAACGTTCATTGTCAATAAGCGCAAATACATAGATATTAAGTTAGATAAAAATTAAATTTTTAAAGTCCAAATGAAGTTAACTTTTTCTGTATCCTAATTCAAATATCATAAAATTGCGGAGGTCCCTGGGCTACAGCCACTCAGTCCTCCCCTAAATCTGCCATCTGCTATAAATTATAATACACATCAATAATATTACATAGCCTTCATATAGATGATACTACTGATCAAACAATACAATTAGTTTGAGTAATTTATTTTAAATTATTGGTAGGTATAACAATCACATAACAACTAGGTATCTTTATTTTTATTCAATATAATATATTACCTGCTAAGAAAACATCATTTTTTAACAACATTGCTTGACGTTCTACCATGGCCTTTAAAATAGATCTAGATAGTATGGAACCATTTGATTTCAAACCATTAGAGGCTCTCCACCAAATTCCAAAAAAATCTCCCAAATTTAGATCCTGTTTCTGAAGAGCTAATGTAGCGATCTTCACAGGTTTCAAAGCTTCAACCTAAATATTATAATAATTAAATTATTTATTTATTTATATACAAATTTAATGGAAACATTTAATGTCCCAATTTATGATTTAAAAACAATTTTCCACATATATATTGAATTGGAATAAATATTATATAATTGGATTAAATAACTTACAATGCTTTGAATACATTCCCACTCACTATTTTGAAGTTTTAACTCCAAATTTTTTTCATCATATTTTTTACAAAAAGCTTTTAATTCTAAAAGTCTAAACAACATATTATATAATGAATTCCATCTCGTTTCATTATCCAGAATGGCTAATTTAAAATCTTCCCTTGCCAACCAACAGGAATACTTAGGGATTCTAAGTTTTTTTACAACCTATTTAAAACAATGAATTATGTAAATATTACTAAGGAATGTTGGTAAGTAAGTATTAATATTTAATTATCAACTATTCAATATTATTATTTACATGTCTAGCCCGTGATACAGTATTCATAATTGGTACAGATTTAAACCCTTGAAGTATACACAGCTGTAATGTGTGCACTGAACACCGCACACAGGATGTAATTGGCTGAGGGAAGTACAAACATTGGTTTCTAAATGTTCAATATTCGTATTAATATCATCTGTGTACAAATAAAATAATAGGTAATTATAATAAAATTGATTATCTATATTAGGTATATTATTTACATTACAATCATTACATACCATTAGTTAATTGTTCAGTATTATTAAGTTCATTTTCAATGTCGGTACTTGAAAGTTGCCCTCCTTCATTAATGTAAACGTCAGACTGATCATCATCAAAGCTATCATTATTATCACATTCTTGTTCATTTATCCCTGTCATTATACATTGTTCTGGTGCTTCATTCTCTATTCTTGCTAATTTCACCATATTTGCCGCATTATCACAAGTAATTGTATATACTTGTTCTTTTTTGATATCATATTTATCTAGTATTTCAAAAAGCTAAAATAATAATTAAAATATTATCATTTATAAAATACCTACTTTAAGCATTTCAATTATTATATTATTATTATATTATATTATTATATTTACCAATTTTTTTAAATTTTCTGATGTATGTTGCTCGTTAACCTCTATCATGGCTAATGTATACAAACATAATTGATTATCTTTAATATACTGGGCATTAACGCCCATAATTGAACGACTATGTCGCTTCACACAATCTATTTTCAAACTAATTAATTGATTTTTTATGTCAGACTTAATTTTATCAATTATTATAGCTGAGGTAGATAAAATATGGGATTTGATATTGTGTGGATTTATAGTAAAACCTAAAATGGTTAACAAAAAATAAGCATTTATAGGATTAATTTTACAATATATTACAACTTAGATTAGAATTGTTTAATTACCTCCACCAATAGCTTCAGTTAGAGGATTTAAAATTTTCTTAAACCCAGAATCGTCAAATATGGTAAAAGGATGACCATTTACGGTAAACAGTTCTGTACAAGCTTTTAATAAAGTACTCTTGTCTAGCTTAATGTTAATACTTTTTTTTATCACAATATCATCCATCGGACCACGTTTTTTAAAAATGTATTATCATTTATTATTAAATAGGTATATTATGTAAATATTACCTACTGTACTTATTTAAATATAATGTAGTACCTACATATTGTATAGTTAATTACCTTTAATGACGGAAGTGCTACGTTAGCATCATCAAGCTGACGTTTTTCTTGGAGAACATTTTCACTTTTCATTCTCTGTAAAACTTTATATTCGTTGTCATGGTAGCATTTGATATGATTTTCGAGATTGTTACTATGGCGACCTTTTAGTAAAGGTCGTCGACAGTTTTCAATGTTGCACGTTGATTCATTCTTTTGAATGTCATACGTAAAGTACAACGTGCCCAGAGGATTAGTCGATTTTCTACCCATTTTAATAAGTAGGTACCTAATTAAGTACAAACAATGTACCTAATTTTAAGCTTAGGTAACTGTTTAAGAAGAACAAAGACTGAAAGACCACGAGAGACGATAGAAAATTACGGACGTCTGAATGGTTACGAAGTAATAACTTATATGATCACAGCTTGATTATATTATACCAATCTAGATTAGGTATATTAATCCAATAGAGTATGGTTGGTGGTGGGTTGGTAGGGAACACATTGTTCAGTCGACGGCTTTTAGGGAAACCCATAGACAATTATGTTAAGGCCTTATAATGTATTATAATAAATTATAAATAATATAAATAATATAAATTATTTATAACTATACTATAATTATTGACTCAGTATTTCATAATTTATTATTGGCTATTGTGTTAATTTAATGTAGGAAAATTATGCCACATATAGTTATTTCTGTCTTCTGATCATGTGTGGCGGCAGCAAAACACGACAGCTTATAATATAGTAAATAATAATAGTATTATTGTTATACAATTTTTATTATAGCGTATTTCTGCGTATACTGTTTTAGAATACGATTATACGATTAATCCATTTACCAAAATAATATATAATATATAAATATAATAATTATTTTTTTGCGTATAATAATAATATATTATACGTCTAATAATATTTTATATACCCTGTGAAATTACCTATGCAAACATACGGGTGCCCGCAGACGAAGACTACTGCACCAGTGCAGCTAGACCTACTCACATAATAATATATTATTAGGCATCATTAATCATTATTAATATCAACTGTATAACTGCAGAACTCAGAAAGTATACATAATAATATAAATATCTATATAGGTAGGTACTTTCGAGTTAATATTTTAGAATCCAGTGAGACGGTAGTGTCGCGAACTAAGTAAAAAAAAAGAAGGCATAGCACATGACCTAGGCTACAGGTCTAATAAATGGACCAAATTAATAATTTTTAATAATATTATTACAAACGCGCCATGGAAACGGAAATATAAATATTATAAACTATTAAAATAAATAATAATATATAATATTTATATGATAATTTATGAAAACTAATAATATACCAACAAAAATACTATGTCAACTCCATGTAAAAAAAAAAGGAATTTAATTTAATTCTTCGTTTTGCGCACGGGCAAACAATTACCCCAGACGTATTAATACAGTATATTAATAATTTAACATGATGATTTATAAAAGACTGATGAACTTTAACTTAGCATAGTTATTTTTTATTTATGGATAACTTAACTTTAACTAGTTAAAAAATTGGTTAACTTGCCCAGCTTTACCATCATCCACATGATGTTATAATAAATAAAATAATATCTTATAAGTTATAATATTATATTTAATATTGATCGCATTGTATGATAGAAGGATAGAACAAATTTACATAATATTCACGATATTTATTATTTTCTACCATATGCAGTATAAATTATATTATTCATAGCTTTTCAACATAAATTCAATTATACTATTATAGCCTATAGGTTTATTTTAAATGCGTAGAGCTTTTTAAATGTTAGATATTAATGTTATAATTTTTCGACTTTCGTTTCGGATATCATGTTATTTCTTAAGATTTCGTCTTAAGTTCAAAAAACGGTATTATTTTTTCCGATTTCGGTTTCGGTTTTGGATATCGGTATTTATGTTTTCCGATTTCGGTTTCGGTTTTTAACGGTTTAAACCGGTATTCAAAATCGGTATCGAAAATCGGTTTCAAGCCCTGTTTATAAGACAGCATTGTGAATTATAAAATATGTAATTATATTCGTAGCATACAAATAATAATAACTGAGAAGTTTTAATTTTATTTGAAAAAGAAATAAATAGGTTTTAAAAAAGTTATTGATCATTTTAAATGTATTTTTCGTGTTTAAAATAATGTAGATGTTTATTTCTAACTAAAAAAATTCACATTAAATATAATATAATAAACATAACATACAATATACGTACATTCTTACGTATATTTCGACAGCCTTTATCACTACCACTAATGTAAATTTAAAAACATTTTTGTTTTTAATTTTACAGAATTTTAGGTAGGTTACGTATTTACTATCAAACAGATATTCAAAGATATCGAAGGCGAGCCAAGGTCCAAAGCTGTATTGTCTTCTATGTCTTTCAGTCAGACCTGAGCATGTGCACCGTGAGGAGATCGTTACGTAACAAGTAAGACGAAGCTGAATATCATTACAACCAGACATTCAGTTCGGCCACTTTGGCCACTATCGCGGACAACATTTAACGACAAAACCTGGCATTCTGACCACGTCAACCATCAACCTTAGTTTAGAGTCTATGACCCATCCGACGACGGATCAGACCGGCTTTCCACTGAGCGGTATCCGACCGCTGTCCACTTGGAACGAGGCAGTCGTGTATACAGTATACCATTGTAAGCCGGGTACATAACTTGGCGAACCAGGTTTTACGTTGCGTGGTACACCACCAGGTTCACTATGCGGGCGCCAATAGGTACACCGTGTTAAACAGAGGTAACCAGGATACACTAGGCGGTGCACCGTCTTGGTGTATACCTCGGTCGATTATACCGCCACAATGTGCGAGTCGATCAGTACCTTCGCCGCTAGGTGATAATTCGGTTACCGACCGGTATCTGATCGCTATCCACTATAAGTGCGAGGCAATCGTGTATACCATTGTATACCGGGTACATAACTATATGGTTAACAATATAACTTGGCGAACCAGGTTATACGTTGCGTGGTGCACCACCAGGTTAACATTGCGGGCGCCAAGGTACTCCGTGTTAAACAGAGGTACACCAGGATAATACACTACACGGTGCACCGTTGTGGTTTGTATATCTTGGTAGCACGATTATACCGCCCCTGTGCGAGTCGCTCGGTACCGTCGCCGTTTGGTGATAATTCGGTGGGTAGTCCGTCTGAAACGTCGTCGTATGAGTCAATAGACTCTCCTGACACGTGTTGATGCTTAGACGTCAGAGTAACCGTTCCCACCGCGATGGTAGCTAAAGTCGCCTAGCCCGTGGCTGTTATACTAATTTAGTCCGCTTCGTCTTAGGTAAAATGAAATTAGAAGATGATCATTTCAAACCAATGACTTAAAAACATATTTGGCGAAGTAACAAACGAAACCAGCCGTATGTACAAATGTGTGAGTACCTACACTATCTTAGTACCTTATATAATATGACCATTGTTTTGTAAATGTGTGCGAAAAGACTCGAGTCGTATGTGTCATGGTAGGTACCTACAGCTGTACCGAGTAATCTGTAGGCATACGAACTTCACAAACATAAAATTATCATTTAAATAAAATCAATGTATATTCATACATTATTTTTTGTAATCAACGTCTATAATAATGATAATATATTTTTGAGTTTTTATACAAAAATATTAAAAATTGAATAATTGTAGACTTAAATTTTTCACCAAACATGTATATTAGTTTTTTCAAGACAAAATAAAATGTTCAATATAACTCTTGAGCTATTTATAAATATTTAAAAAACTTGACTTATTTGAGTTTTAGATTCTGAGTGGAACGATGAATGTATTGCGAATGTATTGGTTTTACAATAATGTTTTGTTTTTTATTTTTTTATTTTTGTGTCTGTGTAGGTACACGATTAGTAGTCAAAATAATGTTTTGATTATCAACTTCAGTATCTTATTCGATGGGAAAGTGAATCTAGTTAGTACTTTTTGAAGGTCAAAATTTGAAATTCCCAATAGTTTTCGCTAATAATCATGACAACTAACACATAGATAATGGGTGTCTAAGACGAGATTAGGAATTACCTAAATGTTTTAAGTTCAACATAATTTTACAATCGAATATAGTGCTAGAATAGTATTTTATCATTACAATCAGTTATAAAATAATGAATAATAATATTATATTGTTCTCAAAAAAGGAATGTATTCTTATTCCAAAATGAATATATTTACTTTTGTCGGTGACGTTTATTTGTAAATATTGTAAGATAAACTTCTTAAATATTGAAATGGTGTTATTTCAGATCAATTTTCCACAATTCTTCTTATTTTGTTATCATGCTTCTTGTACTTTTTACGTCGTGGTGGACTTGATTCTCTCGATAAACGTTTTTCCAACCGTATAAAGCTCTTCATACGCCCAGCTAGAGTTATACAACGAAAATCTTAAATAATCAACAGATAAGACCTCTACTATTTTTATATTAATACCATAGTATGTACATGTAGTAAATACCTAGAAAATATAAATTAGTAGGGTACTAGACTATCGTATACTAGACAACTCGTCTATGTTCAAATTGTATCTATGTGCGATAAAATATAAAATGTCGATCGTGTCTTGTGTGTGTTAAGACTAGGTGCATTGTAATTTGTAATAACTAATAACTACCTAATTATAAAAAGTAGTTAGAAAAAACTAAAAAAAAAAATTACAAAAATAAATGGAAAAATCAATTAATGTATGAAAACATTTATACCCTCAACATTTATAATTGAAGTAAAAATACATTTTTTTTTTAGTATTCGAGTTAACAATATTTTACGTACAATAACTTACGATTTACATTTAGTTTGTAAAAATATCAATATAGACATACCTATTATGTATTTAATTTTTATACTTACTAATATTTTCGAATGTATTGCCATAATACCGTAGATTATACCTAATAAATATTATTATTTTTATTATTCGATGAAAATAATATAACATTGAGGACGATAAACCAGCGAAAATATCGTACAAAAACATCAAAATTTTGTTCCAATAATACGGCTAAATAAAAGGTTTTAGAGCAAAATATCTTAATTAAAAGTTGTAGAGGAGAGTTATATCGGGTGACGTATAAGACTCGATTTTTGATATTTAAATTTTTTTATACCAATTGTTCATAAGTAAAAAAGTGAAAAAAAACTTAAGACGCAAAACGATTTTATCGATTTTGAGAATGAAATATTGAAAATCGAGTCTTATA